ACATGCATAATTCTCGCTGTCTTTCCGCATTGCCTCGACGACTTCGCGCACGCGTAAAAATCGTCGTGGCAATTTTTGCTCAGACTTTAAACAGTATTTTCACATGTTTAATTGTGTTATGATGTTATTACTTAATTAATAACTATTTATTATCAAAAGCGTGATTTAGAATTTATCTTTATTCGAATATTCTCGCGTGTTCACGCGCACTTGATATTTAAACGAATTACATCGAAATTATAATTGGAATGTTAAAGGTTCGTCTATTCTATGACTGAAAAGGCCTGCCTGCCTTTCTTGTCAAAAAAGCTATGTTTTGCTCTTTACTTTAGGTCTACACAATATCAGTTTATATATTGCGGCCAACTGACCTATACTATTTTAATATTTGTAAATAATATTAATAATCAAATTAATAACATAAGATTTGTATAGGGCTCGCTCATATTCAAATTTAAAGACCAACAATCTAGATACCAGGGGTGGATCTAGTATGGGGAACGGGCCCCCTCGTTTTGCCACTAAATTTTAAAAATTTCAATGCAAATCAATGTTATGTGCTTCTCACTTACCTATTCTGAAACTGTTGTGCCCCCTCCCTGTTTGAAAAATTCGGGATCCGCCCCTAGATACCCTATATACGTATCATTGAAATCGGTAAAGCCGACCAAGGCTAAAAGTAATGATACTGGCTGTTCAATATTGGACTTTGATATACATATTTAATTAATTTTTGCTGGTCGTCATATATCGTTTATTTCCCCAAAATAACAGGAGCCACTTAAGGGTCTATATGGCGGGATTGAAGAATGCTTGCCATCGAGGGGCTCTCGGTCTATCGACAAGATTTAATGAACTGCTTTAAAATAGTAAATTATTACAGTATATATAATATGAAATTGGATATAAAGTAGTGAAATCATTTTAAAAAAATATATAAATATAGTTACATGAAATTCGATTGCTAAAGAGATTAAATGAAATTAAACTACAGGAAGCCGCTAATTGTATTATACAATATTATACACAGGAACGCACATCTCGTTGGACACAGAATGGCTTCTAAATTCTCAATGTCGCAAATATTTCTATCTATGGTTCTGGCATAAGATGATTATTAGCGCCCCCATACATGTCGAAAATTATTCTTATTTCCTTGTTTTTATTTGGCTATTCGCTATAAACACGTTAGTCACGTTATAAAAATGTTTCCTCGTATCTGTTTTCTACTGCATGGTTTTCTATCAATTGCATATAGTGAAGGTATTCGTTTAATTCTGTTATTTGCTAGTATTTCTAGTAAGCTTCTAAGTTTAATTATTAATTGATTTTACAATGTGTATCTGCCAAGGTGTATCTGAAGCCACGAATGATAAAAAATCGGTTACAGATTGTTGATGCGATCATTGCACCCTTTGATCCAAGAAATGTCATAAGGCCTATTTCTGATTCTGTCACAGTAATACAAAGCACAGGCCTATAATTTACTTTTTCTTATATTTTGTCTACTTTTCACAGTTACGAGAACAAGTAGTGTAAATTAGGTAATTTTTGTGGGTCCATATATGCTTGATTGTTCATAATTATCCATTACTCACGAAAAGGCCGCCTTCGGATCGGCGGCTTTTCGCGAGGCTGTGAGTTACTAGAACGGGACCAAATATATGGAGGAGGTAGCGCAGATAGAAAAATGACACTCAGTATACATAACAAGTTTAAATGGCGTGGGAAACTATCTTTATCTTGTCAAACCTCTCATCTTTTTTAAAAACTTGACAACCAAAAATTATATTAGATTAGCCTGAAAGTTTTTCTCATAAATGATCCCCCCCCCCAACACCATCCCAAAAGAAAAAGGCTGCTAACTATTTACCAACATAGGCCTATGTACAATTGTGTTGCCTGCTAAAAAAGCACTATAACATGTTAGGGGTCAGAGGCGACCAATACCCACTCTGAAGCCCCAGTCGGCCAAAATACTACAGCTAGGCCTATTGCATAGTGATATTTTATAAATCATAATATTGATTACTGTTTTGTCTTTAAATATAATTTTAGAAAGATCTTCGCAAATGAAAGACAAATTAAAGAGCTCTCTGGAGCCAGTAAGTTTGTTTATAATGTTGACAAAATTAGGTAAAATACTGGTACAAAATATAGTAAAAACGGGATTATACAGTACATGCTAAAATATTGTGATAAATGTTCATTCTTTATCCGTCACGTATTTACTTATTTTAGTGATTAATATGGTCACTTTAAAATATATTTAATTTTGTTATAGTTAGTGAACATACGTCCACTTACCTACTACACGATATACTAAATATTACTCTGCTCCTTCCACTGTACTGTACTAACGTAATTTGAATGAATTCATTGATTTATGATTTACAAAAGTTTTGGCATTGAAAAAAATTCAGTACATATGTGCGAATATATCATTTGCATAGGCCCTCCAATTAAGATTATTCTATACCATCAAAACGTTTGAGCTAGTCAAGAATCTTCTATAATGAACCTAAACCGTTTTTGTTGGAGCAATCAGCTGAAAATGTTAAAAACACATTCAGCATTTGTTGTATAAGAATCTCTTCAACATACCCTAATTTTCTTACAGAGAGGTTTATAGAGTTACTCTGATTATAGATATCGGAATTTCCATTTTTTGGAATATCCCATCATGGTTATTTTCATTGATGTTTTTAATTCCTAATTAAGTACAGGTATAGTTTAATAAATAATGTTGCTTATTAATATTTTTTACATACGGCAGCAATTGCTTTTGTAAATCACAAGATGAAACTATTTGATGCTTTAAATATTCTCATTATGAAGCTTAATGATTTTTTTAGTAATTATGGAACATTTTGTTTTGTTTGACTATTCTTAAAGTTTTGATTGTGTTTTACTTGTTATAAAATAGAGTTCATGATGAAGAGTCCAGTGTAATTAATGCTCAACGAACCAAAACATATTTCAGATACTTGTATGACTAAGTACTAATCACTACACTTTACTTTGAATAACAAATTCTTTTTTAATGTAGTCTGTGTAGACTTTTATTTGGGGATATCGCATTATGAAGTTACATTTGTGGAAACAGACAACTATTACGATTTTAAAACATGGAACGAACTTAAAAATACATGTGAACAATCAGGCTATCTACTTGTGAGCATCACCACTTCACATGAAAACGATGCAATCTTTAACTTCCTCCAAGATAGTTGCACACGTGGAGACTACGCCATTGGATTATCACGTGAGATGGGAATGCCTAGAATGACTAAAAGTAGTTGGAACTGGGAATCCGGTGATACTGCTATGGAGTTCTTTTGGGGCGGTAGAGGTTCTGAACCAAATGTTATGGATTCTTCGTCCGCAGTAGTCTATATGACGACCCTAAACAATCTTGAACCTGGCAAATGGTACGACATCCATAATAGCATTCGAATAGGACTTTCAACTGTTAGTCCTGGATATGGTTATATTTGTGAAAAATCAATAAGTAAGTGGCAGTAATCAATCAACACCTTAAATTATTATCAGCCCACTGAAATACATAATGTGCACGCAATACTCACGTAAACCTAACACATTTCAAACACTATTACATCATAATGCTGCACAGAGCCCGACTCTTATAAACCTCTTTTTCATTTCTCAGCAACCACACAGTTTTCCACGACTGCTGGTAGAACAACAACACAGTCATTTACCAGTCGTATACTGCGGAATTCCACTTATCGTAGGCCTACAATAATATCAACCTCGGCAATTAATGAAGCCAACGAAAGAAGTGGTAAGTGCTAGGCTTAAAAAAAAAAAAAAGATGTTAACTCAATAAGGTTCTGTTCACACTATCACCACTAAGTGGCAGTAATCACATCTTAAATTATTATCAGCCTACTGAAATACATAATGTGCACTCAATACTCCCGAAAACCTGACACATTTGAAACACTATTAAGCAATTAGTGAGCTCCGCATAGTATACTATAGGAAAATTATTATACGAAGGTTAGATTATATGACGACCCTAAACAATCTTGAACCTGGCAAATGGTACGACATCCATAAAAACACGCAAATAGGAGTTTTCACTGATAGTCCTGGATATGGTTATATTTGTGGAAAATCAATAAGTAAGTGGCAGTAATCAATCAACACCTTTAATTATTATCAGCCGACTGAAATACATAATTTGCACATAATACTCACGTAAACCTGACACATTTCAAACACTATTACATCATAATGCTGCACAGAAAAAAAAAACCTCTTTTTCATTTCTCAGCAACAACGCAGTTTTCCACGACTGCTGGTGGCACAACAATACAGTCATTTACCAGTCGTATACTACTGAATTCCACTTATTGGCCTACAATTACATCAACCACGGCAATTAATGAAGCCAACGAAAGAAGCGGTAAGTGCTAGGCTTAAAAAAAATGTAAAAGATGTTAATTCAATAAGGCTCTGTTCACACTATCACATATTACTTGACGAATTTGTGTGACATGTCAGTTTATGGACATGATGATGTCATATTATACAGTAACACCCAAATATGGGCATATCACATTTATTTGACAAATACAATTTGATTGTTTGATAGAGCATAAAGTTTAAAAGTATACAAGAAAATATTAATCATTTGGCAATTATAATAAATAACATTTTTTTTTCATTAAAGATGGGATTACATTATGTTTTCAGTTTATTAACATCCAAATTATTATTAATAGTGAAATTGATTGTTTGTTTTCAGATTTGATGATGATCGTGATTGTATCAGCGTCACTCGTTGCAGCAGTTGTAGTCCTGATTTTAATCTATAGGTGTGTATGCCAATACTTGTTAAACATTACTTAGTTCCGGGTTCAAAGTAGATGATTAATAATAAACTCATTTAGTATATTCCTAAAGATGCTGTTGTAATTATTGTACACTAAAGAGAAAGACAAAATAAGGTTTTGATAAAGAACAAGGAAGGTATAACATTTTTTTGAATTCCTCCGGTACATCATAGAGATAAACTCTACATTCTCTTGTAATACTATACTTATATATAATTCATATATAACATATATACAATTATTATATTACATGTTTTCAGAGGGTGGGGGAAATTTTGACATTCAAAATTTAATTTTCATTCAAATATATATTTTTTATATACTTATAGCATTACACCAACACGGTTTAGAGTTGTTTAAAAATTTTTTATTATGATCTATTTGTAGTAGGCCTGTATTTTATGTTTAAAATTTTAAAAATGAGGACGTATCGTCACCTTTTTCAATTTTTTTATTTTATCTTTATTGTCTTTTCTGTTTAGTTTCCTTTTTTTTTTTGCATTGTAAACCAACGATTTCAGCCTGCGAGCAGCTTGCTTTGGTTTTTCTTTTATAAATAAATAAGAAAAAAAGTAATGTTTATTTATATTATAAAAGTAAATATACATTTTGTTATTGTCAATATCATTATTACTCCTACTTGTATCATTTACTTTTTTTTTTAATTATTTAAGGTTTCATGAACGATTTTGTTGTAAGTCAAAGACCAAAATGAACCCGGAACTTTTGATGGATAATATAGCTGGGGATAAGCCTTGTGATGCGCTGAGCCATTGTATTGAAAATGGATGCCGTGACGTTGATAACGAAAAAATATTAAAATGCAATACGTCGTATAAATGTATGCCTAGCAATCGTTCTCGAAACATGCCGGGACAAGGCAAGGATCCGGGTAGGACTAATGTCATCCAAATCCATATTCCAAATAGTCCATCCGATAATGCACTGGAAGTGGAAAAATATCCATTGAATCAGAGTTCAATTGCGCATGATAGACAAAATCCAAATGATTATGAATCTGAAGAGAATCCTACATACGAACGTTATAATGATGAAAATTCGTACCGCATTTATGATGGGATTAAAAGCGACTGTGAAGGTGAAGTGGACAACCCGGCCTACGATGCTCTCCCGTTTGATGCAAAAAGTCTTTACTCTTCGCCGCATGAAATGGCTGATGTTGCTGGCTCTGTTGGTGAATCGAAAAAGACAGTCGTCAGAGCAAAACTTGTAGGCAATCATGATAAAGTAGCAGATTCGAGCATAGATGCTCTGTATGCAAAACCTGACATGTCAATGAAACGTAAATACCAAGTGGACAGTCCTAGCAACAATAATCTCTCTTCTGAAACAGAGAGCAACTACGCTTCACAAGATAAAACAACGGATGTTGCTGAAAATGCTAATGTCTTGAAGAGAAATGTCGTCACTGCAGCAAATGCAGACGATCATGACTTAGCCGACTCAAAGAAAGATGCCCTGTATGCTAAACCTGACTTATCAATGTAACGTAATGAACGTTTTTGACTTCCTGTATTACTTTATATGACTTATCTATTTGATTTACTTTTATGTGCATTTGTGTGATCAGGCCTGATATGTGTGCTTCTTGTGTGATAGGTGGTGTTGTATAAAGTATGTACTGTATGTCTCTATGTTTATATTTGTAAGTACGGTACAGTCATGTGACTATGTATGCAGTTTTGTATCGGGATATGTATGTACTTATGTATGTGTATTTCATGTACGTTCGTATAGTGTTTGTATAATTTCTTCATGTGTGTTAGCTTACATCACTTTAACTAAGTTTTTAGTTTAAGATTGCTTTCAAATTTTTACATGACTGAACAGTTTCTCTATTTTACTTTACCTTAATGTCCCTTTTGAAAATTTGAATTGTCTTTTTCTTAGTATAAGTCTTTTTTTTTTTGTTATAACTTTACTGTACACTGTATTGTTTTGGACGCACCTTTTATCGAGAAGTGTGCCACTGATTTAAAAGTGTAGTTCCTAATAAATTGAATTGAATTGGAACTTTAAGGATAAAGGCTTCGGCCGAGCTTCTGCCGCAAACGGAGTCTCTTTTTGATTACCATAAGGTGACAGACTCGAAAAAAAACTTTGCTTGCTCCAATAAACATGGCAAATGTAATAAACTGTACAATGAGTCCATGGAAGGAGGAACTATCTTGAATACCGTATGTTCGAATAAGCGCCGTTTTCTAATAAGCGCTGTTCTGTTCTTGAATAAGCGTCGCGCCAAACATAATATTTTTCGCTAAGCGACGCTTTGGAAGACGCTCAGTGGTATCTAATCGAGACACCTAAAAAACATGGTTTATATACAATGTATACAGTATTAAAATAAATATATAACACATCGTCATTATTACCACCACCCTCATCATCAGTAAAGTTTTTGTAATTACCATCCACATTAACATGATGACCAGCGTCACTACCATCACCAAAATCATGGTAGCAAGATAACTGATATTTATATTATAACAAACAGTAATATGATATTAAACGATGAAATATTTTGTTTATCTATCGTTGGGCCATATATAATGCGCCTCTTCGTTGCGGTTTTAAAGCGCAGTTCTTTTCCCTGGTCATTGGGTCCACAAGCTAAGTGTTGCTGCTGGTAATCAGCGCAGGAGCAGGCAACCCAACCAGGTACCCACTTATACTCATGGGTGGAGAAAAGCAATGCAGATAAAGTGTCTTGCTCAAGGACACAAGGGAAATCCACAGGGAGGGATTGAAACCCCGCCCTCGATGTTGGGAAACCCAAACCGTTTCCCGCTTCGACAAACCACTTCTGGATTAGGCTTATAGAATTCTTTGATCAATAAACTTTATAACGATTATATTTTCGTATCAATATGCTGCGTTAATTGCTAGTATCCAAACCAACTTAATTTGCTAACATTTCTTGTTTGTTAACCTAAATATGGCTGCAATAGTTATAGACGCATTGGACATTAAGGATTTGTAGAGAGTAGCACTATACAAAAACACAACCAATAAATTAATATGACAACTATTGTACGTAAGTTTTTCAATGGAAGTACGACGGTATATTTATAAACACATACATCTATATAAAACCACGCAACCAGTAAAAAACTCGCACGCACAGATAGCAAGTGTGGAATAACATACTAGGCCTAAAAGTTATTTCCGCGTTAATTTTGGCTGGTAGAATATTATGTGCTCCTTAAAAATGCAATATATCAGTCTTTTAAAAAGTAGATTAGTAAAATTAGTCTTTTGATTAAACAGCTGTACTGTTGTACAAACGATATTATGTATAAACGATATATTATAAGAAATAAAATACAAACAAATGTGGTTAGTGTTAATGCTTATAATTGTGATTATTTATTATTGTTGTTATTGCTATTATTATTTTTCCTATAATTATTGTTATTATTATTATTATTGTTAGGCCTATTATTATTTGATATTATCATCATCATCATCATCATCATCATCATCATCATTTTCATTATTATTTTTATTATTATTACTGTTACTTTTATTATTGCTATTACTATTATTATTATTATTATTATTATTATTATTATTATTAATATTATTATTATCTTATTATCATTGTTGTTGTTGTTACCATCATTATGCTTATCGCTATTATTGCCATTTCCATTGCCAATTTCATA